GGACCTTCCAGGAACTTACCCAGAGGGTGAGCCTGCCCCTATTCCTGGGGTTACCAGTTCCTTAAATTGCCTCATGACGTTGACCTTGCAAAAGGCTTCTAAATGGGGACAATATATTGTTTTCTGCCATTCTCTCCCCTCCCCCACCACCTCCTTCCCTTCCATTTAGAGGGGACAGTGGACAGCAGGGCTCATGACAGAGCTGATTCACAAACAGCCAGCCCCAGCAGTGGGGGTTCCCTTTGCAAGGTCTGCTCCTGGGCAAGTCGCTTCATCTCCCCAAGCCTCAGCCTTCTCCTCTGGCCAATGAGTTGGCAGTAACACCGGCCCTGCCTGCCTCCTTGGGCTGGTTTAAGGCCCAAATGAGTTTTTGCTCTATAAACTCTCTAGTGCCAGGAAACGAGTCACTTTGCTAGCTAGCCTGCTGCCTGGCTCCTGGCTGGTTCTTGGTAAACGTTCACTGAATTGGTTAGCAATATAGCTTGTGGACATTTAAGAACATCTTCATTTACTTGTGGTTTCCTATGACTTAAGTCGTCTGGTCAACAGCAGCTAGGCTTGACAACAGAAATGTGAACTGAAGCTAATTTACAACGGTGGCCGTTGTTTTTTCAGGCTGGAGAAACTATCTTTTTTTACAGACTTAGGAGTGCTGGATAAACAGAATTATTCTAAAATAATGTGCCAGAGCTAGCCCCATCACCCCTCTTGGGACTGAGGCATTTTGAATCCAGAGAGGGTTTCAGAGCCCCAAGAATGACCTTCCTCACCCGCAGCTTCCCTCCATTTGCTCCATATCTGAGAGTTCCTAGAGCCCTCCCCGCCCCCCATCAGAACAGTCCTAGAGAGCAGGTGTGGCAGATGCCATTGNATTTTATGATCATACCTCATATTAAGTGCATAACCTCCCTCAGTCTCAATTTCTTGATCTGTAAAATCAGAATCATTCCCCTTTGCACTCAGGCTTGTCATAAGATTCACCCATAGAACGTGTGTTAATTTCCTGGCTTGGTTGCAGAGTTTTAGGTGGATCATAAACTGGCAAGGAGAGACCACACCCCACCTTTATGTTCCCTGTTTATGTAGCCCAGAGTATGGAACCCTGGTAACAGCCAGCAAAGCGGATGTGACAGATGACAGTCCTTAGCCCCTGGGGTTCCTAAAGAGGGGTGCTCAGCTGCCTGTGACACTAGTCAGGTCTCACTGGCTCAAGAAGCTTATTTTTGTGCTGCCCCGTAGCCCGGTTATAATTGGGGCTGACATCACCACTCAGGAAGAACTTACAAAAACATTTCCTGTCCTTAATAAGAAATACTGACCAACCTCCAGCCCTCTTCTGGTCCCCAAGCCAAACAGCCTCAGCAAAGCCACACATCTTAAATGGGTGGGGCACGGGGGCAGAGTCAGGGTCAGGCTCCATGGGCCTCACGGGCCTCACCTCTGCCTCTGTCTTTCCAGCACCCTGGCAGACCTTGTTCCAGGATAACACAGGAAACGTGGGTGTTTAATAAATAGCTAAGATGATAGTGATGATGTATATCTCAACTTTAATTCACATGCGTTAGTTCCATTATTGATTTTGTGCTGCTCAAATTAAGCAGATAAAGTCACAAGCAATTTAAAAATAATTAGTTTAATTTTGCATCTGCGATCTAGTGGGAGTGTATTTTTTTTCCTCCAATATTAATAATTGCATTGTACAATTAATGAATTTCAGTTGAGATCAGTCCTGTCTGGGCTAATATAGCATTTCTCTTTTGTTCCTGTTTGTTTGTTTTGTTTCATATTTTAGGGTCAAGTTGTGTTCCGGAACGGGGAGAGAATGGGGACCATTAAATTTACTCAATTTCAAGGTAGGCTTTTTAATGCATATTCTTTCTAGTTGATGAATTCTATATTCAAGGATGTTGTGTTTATGCAATAAAATATATCAAAAGAAATGAAAATATGATGTTCCAGATAAAAGAAAGCAGAGTCAATAGAAAACACGTCTCTGTGAAAACATTAGTTTCAACTTATTTAAAATATCTTTTCTGAACTGCATTACTCTCAGGCCTATTCAGCCTTCCTGCATGACTCTGAGAGGCTCATGAAAGTATGGAGATATGTGGAGGTTGACAGTTCCAATATTCTGAGAAAGCTTGCATTGTTTGAGTTTTTGATTATGGAAAGACTCTGAAATGAGAGAATAGCATAGTGAACCCATCTACCCATCACCCAGCTTCAACCATTATTAACATTTTGCTAATCTTGCCTTATCTTGACTCACCCTATCACCCCCCCCTTTTTTTTTTGCTCTAATGTTTTAAAGCAGCTCCCAGACATTATCTCATTTCGATCTATAAATATTGCAGTATGCATTTCTACTAGATAAGGACTTTCAAAACATAACCACAATATTATTATTATCACACCTAAAACATTTAACACCAATTCTTAATATCTTTTCATTCCCAGCCTATGTTGATCCTCCGATTATCCCAAAAATGTTTCTACAGTTGGTTTGTTGGAAAATTCACACAAGGTCCACTCTTTGCATTTAGTTAATGTGTCTCTATAGTTTCTTTTAATCTGTAATCACCCCCCACACACTATTTACAGGTCATTTTTTTCTTTTTGAGAAACCAGGTCATTTCTTGGACTTTCCTGCTATGAAAGTTGGAAGGGGCCTCAAAAGTCATTCCAGACCAAGTTTCTCATGTGATAAGAAGGAAACAGAGACCCAGAGAGGG